TAGGCGATGTAAATATAAATACACCATCAGCAAAATTACATTTGTGTTGTCATTCCATCATGTCGTACGATTTACCGATGTGGCTTTGGCCTTCAGAGGAAAGCCATCCGGATAACTAAGGGATTAATTTTTAGGGATGATTGTAGGCAGGCTTCTAGAGACCTAGAGATTTTAACATTGCCCTCCCAATACATCATGATCTGCCATCTCCATATAAAGAACAACCTTACTATGGTCTGAGTGCACAGTAATGTTCACGAGCACATTGCCAGGTTCAAGAGTAATCTAATGTCAGGCTAAAAAGATGTCAGAAGTCTCCAGAGTATCAGGGCATACAATTTTTTAATTATCCGCGGAAAAGCATCAGAAACATGCGTGTCAACAAAAATATAAAGAAAATGTGAAGAGCGTCTATATGTCTCGTGCTTTCTATAGTACGGATGAATTTCTCCGGAATTTTAATATTTTATTTTGTGGTTTGACGTCTTATGTTTCTCTTTTTTATTTCATTTTAAGTTAGATTTGACTTTTGTGTCTTTGACACACACACTGGTACATATATTGGCACCAATACATTTGAATTTGGTTAGAACATATTTACTATAAGCCAGAATCATCGGCCATCTAACGGTCAGAGTGGTGACTGAGCTATCAAACCCGAATTGAGATATTTACAGTTCCAACCGATAGTTTCTATACAGTGGTCGATTCTGGCATAGCTGGCATTTGTCGCTGTCTTGTTTCGATATTTTGGTATACTTCTCGCATACTAAATCAACAAAGAATTAGTCAAGAAACGACACAGCCTAAATATGCCTTGCTGGCTTCGTGCATCCAATTTTATCCTCACCTCACCTGTGTACATACGTATGAACCTTCAACACATCAAACAGATACAATACTTAAACAAGACAAAAAGCGAACAAAGAATTTTCAACATAACTCGGCGCAACGCCACACCAGCTGTTAGTGAATAAGCGTTGGCGAATTCAGATGCCCTTGGAAATTCCTACAAGCGCAATTATTGCACTACTTAGGACAAATGGTAACAATGTGTCGGTGAAATAATCATTACGCGATTGGCGCGTGGTATTTAGAACGGTAGTAGTGCCGGTAGGACGGCGTGCGGCGCGAATACTAGCGTTGTGATAATTAAAGTAATAGTATTCGTTTCACATGAAGACTTTTGAACAAAATGTTTTCTAGTTATCATTCCACTGGATGGCATATTTATAATGCCAGTACTGGCTGGACGACCTGAGATGTAAACACAGGTGATGGGATAATTCGAATTATGCTATTCGTCCTATTACTAAGCGGTATCTTCGTGGTACCGCAAGGCACGATATGCGGCGTGAATGCTAGTGATGGGACAGTTTGAATTTGGATATTCATTCCTCTCGCTTGAGTGCGACGGTAAGATAAAACTTATTGGCCCTTGGCATCTAGAGCGGAAAAACCGACACGGAAAGACACAGCATGAATTCTAGTGATGGGATAAATTGCATAATGGAACTCGTTCTATCGGAATTCGCTTCATCCGAATATTTTGAAGATAGTATTTTCTAGTTATTATCGCACTGGATAATATACGTCGTAAAACATGTACACTAGTGTTGGGACAATTCGAATAATTGTTGTATTCATTCAAGCGGTGGGTGCGTGGTATCAGCAAGCAGTGGTGCTGAACTGAAAAATACGATCTTTGTAGATATTGTCACGAAAGAGGAAAAATCAGGGCCAATGCAAGATCAACGGCAGATCAAGGACCTTTGCGTCCCTTAACGCCGTGTATGAAAAGAGGCATATTTTTGCATTGCGAGTGCATACACAACCACACAACATGGATTTTCTGAGAGCATGTCTTGGTGAAAATATAATCACTAATTTATTAAAACTTGTGCAATGAGCATACTGGTTGCTCTTCAAACTCCGTTACCACCATCCTGGATAATCCTTTTTCCAATCTTGCTTATAAGATGTGAATATTTTTCTGTTTTATCCTTGAAGTCGAAACCTCATCATCCGGCATTTTAATTTAATATTTGAATTTGATTATCATAAACAGACGAGCTTTGATTTCTTTATTGCTTGTTCGGCGATGAGTAATGATGCAACTGTACTAGTCTATACCTCTTGTACGCACAAAATATGCCAATACAGGGAACGCGGAGTAAGTGATGTACGTACATAATTATAGGGAACCTAAATCTACGTCCCTGTGCCCGACTGCGACTAACAAGTCATCTGGTCAGCTTTATTTTTGATATTTCGTTAAACAGGGTCTCAATTCTATAGAAGTATCGAAAAATCGGTAGGTTCGGCAACGCTGTCGCCAAGGTTCGACCACTCGACATGCGGCGTGAATGCTAGTGATGAGACAATCTGAATTACGATATTCATTTTTATTGACTGAGTGTGATGGTGAAAAATTTTTATTGGCTCGTGGTATCCAGAACGGGAAAACCAACAGGGAATGGCGCAGCGAGAATTCCAGTGATGGGATAAATCGAATAATGGAACTCGTTCTATCGGAATTAGTGTGACGATGAAATAATCATTGGGGCGCGGTATTCAGTAAGGTAGTATTTCCGGCAGCACGACGTATGGCGTAAATTGGAGTATTCATACGAATATTTCAGAGTATTTTCTAGAAAGCATTACACTGTACGGCATATTTAGAATGGCACTGCTGGGTGGACGACGTGACACGTGAATACCAGTGATGGGGGAATATAATAGTAGATTTGGAGTGACTACAACATGAACATTAGTGATGAGATAATTCGAATTATGATATTCGTCCTATCTGAATCGATGTGTGTGTGAAACAGTCACTAGGTGGTGGGTACGTGGTACTGGCAAGGCATGTCATGCGTCGTGAATGCTACTGATGGGATAATTTGAATTACGATATTCATTTTATCTCAGAAGCAGCAAAAATATATACCAGAAACTGGAACAAGAAAATTATATAACCAATTTTTGGAAATAAATTGATAACTTCTGGAATCCTCAGTCATTTTTGATGTATGTACGGTACTGGTAAAAAAACAAAGAATACCTAAACGGTTATGACTTTGTTGAGGATACAATAAAAAGCGCTATTAGGAATAGTAATACAAGTATAGCTACACATTCACATACTTATGAAATACTCGAATCTGCGGAACAATTTGAATATTATGTTGTACAATAAAGTCAATTTTTGAAACAAACTGATCATCTGAATTACTTTATTTTTTGACAATAGAGTAAGCTAAGTAGATAGAGTTATTTTCAATGATTATTAAATCAGCTTTTGACAAAAACTAATAGTAATGGTAATAAAGTAAAGTGGTTCGTCTATTTTCGCACGTTTGCCGTGTAAGATTACAAATCCAACAAAATACGTATGCGGCCACTAAGGGCCGTATTTTGAGGTTATGTTTCGTTTTCGAATTCCAAGCTGATAAAGCTGACTTTTATCATATGTATTATCAGCCTGAAATTTCTTAAGATTAAAAAGAAAATATAACCTCACAATAGGAGAGCGCTGACGCTGACACCTAACAGTAGAAATCTAGAAATATCCCAGCCTTTCTAGGAGAGAAAAGACTATGAAAATTAAGGAAGCCATACAGTCGTTCTACAATTATTGTGAGAACGACTGACGATACGGCCCTAAATGGTAACTAAAAGATATTCCAGAGTATCATGCAGCTTGAACGTTGGTTTGAACAGAGACCAATGGACTGAGAATTTATATTGGTAGGTGCTGATGTTCTTTAACACCTTTTGAAAAGTACGTCAATTGTTCTTTAATCCCAGGACAAATATTATGTGCATTTATTACTTCCTTTAAAAGCGATGATTTTTGCAAAAGTCGAGAGTTGCGGAAATTCGAATGTTGGCTGAAGGTATATTTTTTGATCCAATGTGGCCGAGACCGATGCTCCGGCGATACTGGATGTACGATGTGCTACGTGAACACTAATGATGAGACAATTCGAATTTGATAACATTCGAAATACCTTTTATTTCGGTGATAGTAGCCCCTGAAAGACACCATTAAAGAATAAAGTTATATAATTCAACGAATTTTCCACAGCTAAGTAAGCAGCTGAGTTGTTCATGGAGAACAATTAACTTATTTAGATCGCTGTCGCAATATTGTCATTTCCTACTTTCTGAATAAAAAGCCTCAAAAATATTTTTAGAAGGCATAACCATTTCGCTAGAAAATGGATTCCTATTCGGTTTTTTACATTGTAGCTAATAAAAGAGATGAGAGTATAACTCAAGTAAGCTTATATAAAAATAAGGATCCTGAGGTCCATTAGGCCGCTGATCAGGCGCGTAGCTACCGCCGTATGAGTCGTATCAATTATACATGTACAAAAAACCTACACCTAAAAGAAGCTTTTCGAAATTAAAGTAAGTAAAATATCTTAAGACTTCTATGAAGGGACTTCGACTATCAAGGCTGGTACTGTGCTTGGAAGCTAGACAAAATACTGGCAAGTAGATTGACGCGGTACTTCTCAAGCATTCACCTATGCCTATTTCCAAATTTGTTATGAGTCAAGATAAACCTTGATAAATAAACAAAATGCTTGAGATCCATGATATTTTTGAATAGCTATGCCTTGACCTGAAGCAATTAGAAACGATGAAAGCAAATTTCGATTTTTTTTGAAAATTGTCACCTTTTCAAAAAGATATTTTATTAGCCTTAAAATAGCTCAGAAACTATCAAAGTATACAAAAATAAACCCTGGATCGATCTGAAATAAGCTACTTTAATTATTACAGTTCTATTCATAAAAAAAGCGTACACGAATTAGAATAAGAGGAAACCTTAACCTTATTTGCGTAAAACCGGCTTGTCTAAATGATTGTTTATTGGAGGTTATCACACGTCGTAGATTGTCAAAAATGCAAAGCATTGACGTCGGTGTAATTCATTTCGAAAATGCGTGGTGGTAACGTTTGATAAACTTTGACAGAAGAAAATAAAAATGCCTCGTCAGTTGTCTGAAGTTGAAAAGGCTCAAATTGTATCAAGAATCGAAGAAGGATGGTCAATCCGTGCTGTAGCGCAGTTGTATAATAGAAATAAAAAAACCATATTGAAAATTAAGCAACGCTGGGAACAGGAAGGTTCCCTAAAGAGGAAAATTGGTTCAGGTCATCCCAAACTTACCAACCCTGAACAGGATGCTGCTTTTTTGGGATATTTAAGAAATAATCCATTTGCAACTGTAAGGGATGCTGTTATTGATACAGCATTTCCTGCCTCCCAACCTACCGCCAGCAGGAGAGTAATGAAATCTGAACTAAAATGTCACCCTGCTGCGAAAAAAATGTTTCTTAACGAAGAACGGCGACAATCAAGGATTATTTTTGCTTTAAATTATATATACCGCAATCCTCAATTTTGGAACAGGGTCATTTTTACTGATGAAAAGACGTTCCAGTCGACTTATAACGGCCAAATTCGTGTTTACCGTCCAAACAATACCAGGTTTGAAGAGCGATATACTAACCCCCTCAATTCTAGACCTGGGCGTTTCTCTGTAAATGTATGGGGCTGGATAAGTGTTCATGGACCTGGTGTTTGCTGGCGAATAGAGGGAAGATTTAATGCCGGAAATTACATTAACATTTTAGAAAACATATTGTTACCAAGTGCTGAGCAAATATATCCCAATAATACGTTCATATTTCAACAAGATAATTGTCCAGTTCATACGGCCAATGCTGTAACCCACTGGTTTCAAACCCATAATGTGGAAGTGCTGCCTTGGGTCGCTTATAGTCCCGATATCAATCCAATCGAAAATATTTGGGGTATAATCGTAAAAAAAATATATAATCGAAATTTTAGGCCACAAAATTCAGAAGATTTATGGGAAATAATACATGCGTGCTGGGAAGAGCTTGATTCAAATATTGTATCAAATATAATTCAGTCAATTCCGAATAGACTGGCTCAAGTAATAGAAAAACAGGGATATATGACCAAATATTAGATTTTATTTATTCTTGTTAATCGTTTTTTGTTTCTATTGTAATTTTTATAAAACTGTTAAGATGTAAAATAAAGAAATACATTTTTGTTACTGTATTGAACTAATGCCCGACGCCCATGCTTTGCATTTTTAATAACCTTTAACATGCGATAAGCCGGTTTTACGCAAATAAGGTTAAGGTTTCCTCTCATTCTAATTCGTGTACGATTTTTTTATGAATACAACTGTACATATAACACCTTTGCCAATTAAATAATTTCCAAAAATAAAGTAGCATTACCTACTATGACCACACATGGTTTTACGTGTTGTAGGCATCGTGCAACAAAAAACATGTATCTGAATTTTTAAGATTTCCACATTTACAGTAACCTTCCTCCAACCCGAAAAACTTTGCTAGCCTTGGCTCTTCAAACAGTTTTGAGGCTTTTCCAGAACGTTATCTCTTGCCGATGATCAGCTCCCACTGACTGAGAAAATGTTCTGCGATCGATTCATATTATTCGTAATTGTTTCTTTTGCAAAATCTATATCTACTTCAAATCTTACCTCCCATTTAAGCTTCGCCTCAGTTGGGTTTGGCCTCTCTAAAAATTTTGAAATGGGGCCCCTTATTAAATTATTATATTTCAAAAATCGTGAAACCAACAAAGCATTACCGAAACAAAATTGTTTTTTGAGAACAAGACCATGAAGAGAGGAAAGCTTTAAATTTTTTATCGAACCCTGTAATATTTTTTTCGTACGATTTTTATGTTTAATTATGTATATTATGAGTTCATACAAAGTTTCGATGAACCTCTGAAATAGCCTGTTTAATAGCGTATCCAGAAAAGATTCTGAAGGAGGCTCGGCAAGGTACCACAGACTCATTTGTATCATTTTGTCGGTTACTCGTTTTTATCACTATCTTTCCTCTTATGCTCATTTTTCTCATTTTTCTGGATGTTTCACAGTGCAATAGATTAAACCAATTTTTGTCAAAAATGAATTCCATATGTTAATCTTATGATAATATTGTGAATTTTCATTTGCTACTTGCTTTTTAAACTCATTTCAAGTTTCATACAATACAATACAAGAAAAATATTTCAAATTCAATTATCTCAAAACTACTTATTAGGACTTAACCTAGTCTGGCTCTGAGGTACAGATACATATTTATTGAGAAAAATACTATTGAAGTTTTATATACAGGGTGGCGCATCGAAAACGAAACAGACGCATTTACTGGCAGCTGAGTTTTTTTTTGGAAAAACCCTCTGACCCGTCGATTTTGTTTTCGAGGGGGACACAACTTTGGCAAACAATCACGTTAATACCCCTGAGCGGGGGTGACACCAACCCTAACATCTTAAATGGAAAGGGGGTCGAGTGATACCTTATTTTAAAGGTCTTTCAATTCCCTTTATAATGATGTAAAATATATGAACCTCAGTTCAGTAGTTTTGAAGATTTATTGATTTAAAGCTCAAAGTAGACTTTAATAGGTACATCAGATTAGTTTGTACTACTTTCAGAAGAAATTTGACTAAAAGAATTTACTTAATAAGTAAATGCTTTTCTCCACTACGCCCATGGTTTGTTTATCATTTTGTTGTTGAAAATATCTATTGGAGCCTTTATTTGTGGCAAAAAAGTTATTCCTTGAAAAAAGATAAGGAAATATCTCGTACTTATTTTAAATAGGAATTTAGTGCATAGTTTGCGATTGATTTGACCAAACTTTGTTGCTAAATAACTTGTAACGCTTTATTACATAAATTAACCATGGTATATTCCACAGCAGAAAGAGTTGAAATTATCGAAATATTTTTCGGAAATAATCAGTGCGCCAATAAAACAGCAGAAATATTCAATGAGCGACATGATAACAGTAACGTGCATCGAAAATATGTTCTAGAACTTGTAGCTAAATTTCGGGAAACTGGGACAGTCGCTAATAAATAACGCAACATTGAAAATCCCATAAGGAACGAAGCAATAGAAGTGGGGGCTTTAGGGCATGTTTATGTAGATCCTACGTTAAGTATCCGCAAATTGGAGACTGTGTGTGGTGCTAGTCGACGTATTGTCCAACGGATTCTAAAGGTCCATAGTTTTCATCCGTATAAAATTCACCTGGTACAAGAACTTAATGAAGACGATTTTCATCGGCGATTACAATTTTGTGAAGATATGAGTGAACGAATTATAAACGATGAATATTTCCTATTCAACACTTGCTTTTCCGACGAATGTTCATTTTTCTTAAATGGCGTAGTAATTCGTCATAACTGCCGATATTGGTCCGATTCTAATCCCAGAATTTATCATGAGGTTCATACACAGCAACCACAAAAATTAAATGTTTGGGCTGGTATTTTTGGCGATCATTTAGTTGGTCCTTCGTTCTTACCTGGAAATTTGACCGGGTAAATGTATTTGGAATTACTGGAAGACGCCATAGATCCTGCATTAATAGCCATAATCGAAAATCAGAATGATCGGCGGTACATTGCGAATAGGTTGATGTTTCAACCGGACGCTGCCCCACCACATTACGCATCACGTGTTCGATAATATTTAGATCAGACGTTTCCAGATCGATGGATTGGTAGAAGATGTGCCATTGAATGGTCCCCAAGATCGCCAGATTTATCACCTTTAGATTTCTTTATGTAGGGTCATTTAAAAAGCACAATCTATGCTACTCAGCCAACATCATTAGAAGACCGGCGACAAAGAATTGTGAATGAGTTCCTTCAAATTTCTCCTCAAATATTGCAAAATGTGCGGCAACGTTTTGAGCAAAGTCTTTATTATTGCATGGAGAGTCATGGTGGCCATTTTCAACATTTACTCGCCTAAGGGGTCAGTTCATTCTTCATTTTTAAATTACTTTGCTGCCAAATGTATTGATCTCTACTAATGATGATGTATTAGTTTTATTTAAGCTTTAACTCAATAAATCTTCAAAACTACTGAACTGAAGTACATAAATTCCATATCATTATAAAGGGAATTGAAAGACCTTTATAATAAGGTATCACTCGACCCTCCTTTCCATTTATGATTTTGGGGTGGTGTCACCCCCGCTTAGGGGGCTGCACATGCTAACGTGATTTTTTGCCAAACTTGTCTCCCCCTCGAAAACAAAATCGACGGGTTTGAGCGTTTTTCAAAAAAAAAGATGAGCTGCCAGTAAATGCTGTCTGTTTCGTATTCGATGCGCCACCCTGTTTGTAAAACAGATAAGGCTGTAGAGCTGGTGGAGGGATGGATGTGCGCTTTCCCATATATTAAGGAATTCCTCTCACATCACATTGCCATGATCCTAAAAATAAACAAGCAACAAGTGATCACCTGTCAATTATCCTAACTGTGTTGCCTGATTTCTGCACCATCAGTCAACCTCTGCTAAGCCGATTACGCATAATTTTTCGAACGTCTTCCGCACTCTGATGAAGTCTGCCTTAGCTAATTATTCAGAGAAGTCGACAGATCTTCCAGTGTCCGATTCTATCGATCTCCGACATGTCATAACTGCTTGTACGGTTCACATAATTTAACGAAGATCGAGATACCGCCATGATGACATGTCATGTTACGAGACGTTTGAGGACCATGCTGGGTGATGAAAATTCAATAGGATGTTGCATTCTGTCATGTGAGATTCTGCTCTAAGAGAATCTGCTCTATTAACGTATAGTCCAGGCTAGATAAAAAAAGGTGAAACAAAGTTTAGCAGATATCTGAAAGCTTTAAATGGAAGGAGGGACTTTCTAATGACAAATACATAAAAAGATATGTGTTGTTTTTTATAACAATTCTAAAAGCCCAAAATTCAGAATTTTGCTTGTATAATAAAAAGTTTATATAAACATAGTTCCAGAAATGCTTCATTTTCAAAATACTTTTCTTAAAAGATCGGTTTTTCCTATGTATCTTGGTAAGCTATCAGTCGATTTTGTTTGAATTTAGCAGTGGTAGTAAGCGCAGTAACGGGCTAATTTAGCTCCGATTATATTGTTATTATTAAATCCAGTGGCGTCCCGGAAAACACCTTAACCAACATCTTTGACAAATCATTTGTGCGCCACTGTGTTTTCTCAATTTTTCTATAGCCACATATTTAAATAACACCCTGTATATTAAATCTAACTCCATGTTTCCTAATTTGATACACACATTTTCGTTTCTACCAGCCAATAGCGCCCTTTTGCGTTGTTAGAAGAACGAACAAATGAATACGAGTTGTCTTGTATGATAGTTCTGAAGAAAAGGAAAGAACATTTCGGAAATTCCGCTGCAGGTAAAGAAGCTTAAACAGCTTGACCAACTTAGCAGTCAGCAATTTTATTAGAGATTGGTATGAGTATTCGGGGTGTGTAAAATAAGTGATGAGATTGCTTTTTTATTTTTTTTTCTGTTTTCGGCGAATTACTGCAAGGTCTACCTTCTTCGCTGTCTGTTGTTGCCCTATAAAACGTTGCCTGTCTAACATTCTAATATGTGAATTATTTCACAGCTTCAGTATTGGGTGGACATTCTTGCGAATTTCAAGTTTGTACTTCATTTAAACTTATTGAAACAACTTGAGGATCCACAATTTGTTTATCAGCTTTATGGTAACCATTTCAGACACCCAAATAAGGGCAAACTTGTTCTCAAAAATTTTGTCTCGTACGCTACTTCACATAAACAGCAAATTATGTGAAAAATAGAATCACGTAGATTGACTCAATGGTTTTTCACAAATCACTTTTCGTAAACCAACATGAACAGCAAGTTATAAATACAACTTTGAGTAATCGAACTAGATTGACAAATATGTCAGGCAAAGTAATTTCCTTGTATAAATCCAAACCATCACGAAAAAGTACGTAGACAAATTCGTCCAACAATAATCGGCAACTAGTTGTAGAAGAATCCACTTGTTCATATGGCTACTAGACAACAAAATGGTTGTGTTTTCACTAAAATATTGGTTTTGCATGAGAAGTACTGTTATTATAATT